TACTTTGGTGCAGTTGTCTGATGGAGAATTTATATTTTTCACTAGACACTGTAAAAGGTGTAGTTACTTGTCTGACACACAGCCAGAACCACAACATGTACATTGCAAGTTTCATCCAGGTTTTTGACATCATGTCCTCGTAAGAAAGTTCTTGATATCGCATAGCTTGCACTGCCTTACGACCTAGAGGTACTCCTTGTGTCCTCACGGTGCAGAATCATACAGGCTTACCTCAACCTCTAAGCAGACACAACGGCTTCTACAGCTACAGCACAACAGCAACCACAACTAATGTAAATCTGCTTTATGGCATACTGTACGTCGGACACAGTGGGGCATCAAATACTGGAACACAACCTCAACTCGCTACTCCCTTATTCCAAGCTCATCACCACCACCTGACATGGGAATCCATTTCATTTTTGATGGTGGGCAGTAGCCACCATTTTCAGATTGAGGGACAGAAATACTCGAAGGCCATGCGAACAGACACCCCGCATATCCACTACAGACTGATGTTGTAGATTGATAAGCATCTACTACCAAAACTTTACCACTACAGTACATGCCATCTGCAGAGCTCCGAGGAGTCCCCACTTTGACACAACACATTGATGATGAGGGTGCGGGTCAGCTGTGTGGCCATAGCGACCACACCTCCCAACTGTTGGGATGTGCTTACCCTAACACAACCACAGGAAGCAACAAAGGAGTTTTCAGACACACTCAGCCTGACCAGGGAACAGATGACACCACATATGGGGGCGGTATACAAAAAAGAGGCCATGCTAATACTCCTCATCTCTACCTTCCTGTGCCGAACACCACATGACAACACAGCGATCCGAATATCCAAGGCAACATACAGCTGAACTGCAATGACAGCACATCATATTTCTAGTGACTTATTGTCAAGCTTTGCAAGTGGCTGACAGCTATTAAACCAAATAAACGACATCAAGTGAGTGCCATTTTTACACAAGAAGAAATATCCATGGGGGGGCCCATGAAGACACAAGCATCAGACACCTATCAAGCATACAAGCACAGAGGCAAACAGATTACAGATCTTTCCCAAAGCTTTCTGCATTTATGGACTCTGGTGTTCTGTTTTTTTTTTTTGTTTGTTTGTTTGTTTTTTTTCCCTCTACCTTCCTTCCCATTCCCCCCTCCTCTTTGTGCTATTCTTGTGTTGTTTCTGCATTGTTTTCATTTTTCCTTTTTTTTTTTTTTTTTTTGCACTGGACCATAGTGATGCCTCTAACGCCTCCCGTGTGATGCAGGTTTGGCTCAGTGTGTCTGTGGACTGACAGCCCACTCAATCGGTGCATATGTCCTGCTTTAGAGCACGGTAAGCTGGAAATGAGCCTCTAATAGCACAATTTCCAAAAACAGAGCGGCAGCAAGTCAAAACCCAACATGGACGCATGGAAGTACTTTTCTCTCTGGTGGTGGAGATGCAAGGAAGGAAGGAAAGAAGAAAGAAAAGACAAGAAGACGGAGAATGAGTTGAGGCTGGAGTCAGAGATTGGAGAGTAGCATCCTTGCTGAAGACTGCCCCCTTTCTTCTCACTGTGTCCCATGCTCCATGTATGGTGCTGTAAGTACTGAAATAAATGAATAATCTAACTTCATGGTTAACAGTTCAAAAGTATTGTGGGGAGAAATCGCATACTGTTGAT